AAAATTGGCACCACACACTCACCCTTATTCCTTAGGGTACCTCTGCAAACAACTCATCCAAAGCAAGAGTATCTCATATCATGCTTTCTCCCTGTCCTTCTTTTAGTCGTTGTTTTGGGATAAGGAGAAAGGGAGTAATCAGCCAGCACTTGGTATCAATCTTCCGATCTGGAACCAACTGCCTGGAACCCCTTCCTGATTGCTTACCTAGCCTTGCTCTCGAGTACTTATCTTCATCATCTTATGCTTCCTCTTCGTCTACCACATCTGCTTGGGGAACAGATAAGGGAAGTGAAAATGATACCTCGAAGCATGTGGAGACAATGTACCAATTCATCCTTAGCTAGGGACAAGGAGAAAGAAAGCAAATGGTGGGCACTTGGAAAGATTGAAGAAAGAAACAGACCATCACCTCTACCTCGTGCCTGCTTGCCGTGCAGAAGAAACAAGCAGAGAAGAATGCAGACTGCACAATCAAATCAACCCAGCATAAGGAGTCTGATTTGAAACCAAGGAACTCTCAGAGTCCTCGCTCAGAATTCCAAACCAGTTTGAGATCAAAGCTGTGGAAAGTCAACAAGATCATCTATCTTCAAAACCAGATTTGCGTTCTTAAACTCTACTCTGTCTGGTTTTTACTTTGCCATACTTGTCATGTTTATTCGTTGTTTATTTGTTTACTTGTTTTTGTCTGAGTTTATGCTTGAAACATTGAGGACAATGTTTGATTTAAGTGTGGGGGGTAACCAAGTTGTTTTGTATTAAATTCGTAGGAGTGCATCACCCATTACTTCTAGTGTTGTTCCTTGTTGTTTTAAGTGTTTTTAAGCTGTTTTGAGTGTTTTTAGTGTGTTTTGACATAAAAATCCGAAAATCTCATAAAAATTTGAAAAATTGATTTGAAAAACCCAAAAAGAGTTGTTTTTGTATGTTTACTTGTGTCTTAGGGTACCTTCCAACACAATGATGAGGATTTGGTTTTTAATTACATGACTGTTAAAGAGAGTTATAAACATGGATGAAAATTTGATTTACTCTTTGGTGTATGCTTGGTTGTGGTTGTAATTTATGAATTCACATGCAATCATAAAAGGAAAAATCAGTTTTTGTAACATGCTTGAAAGAAGGAACTCAAATGAACGCTACAACCTTATGAGACTTGAGCCTAAACGTTTATTTGGAGAGTTAATAATATGTGCATCATTGTTTTCTAAAGTCGTTGCATGATCTCATTATTCTTTGCTTGGTTGCTACTTAGAAGTCGTTTCATCATTTAGTTCCAAATGCTAGAACTCATGCCTATTTCATTCAAAGCATGTTATTGATTTGCATAACACATATTCAAGATGAAGTTGTTTAGTGAGCCAAGAGCCAAAAAGCCTATCCCGTTCTTTATGTGTTTAAGTTTAACCCTGTTGAGCCTTGTGTAGCCTATGTTCTTTGTTACCCACACTATCCTCACCTAGCCTAGATTAGGACCATCCATACCCTTGTTCTTGGAGCATAGTAAAACATAATTTAGAAGGAATTCCTTTTGTTGAACTCTTGTAGAAAAACAAGTGTAGGGGAAGTGATTCTTGTGTGTGTGTTGCCAAAGTCCTTAATAAGGCACGGGTAGAGAAAAGAAAAAAGAGTATGAGAAAGAGCTCTAAAGTGTTGTTTGTTAAAAAAGGGTCCAAAACATTGAATTCGGCTCTAAGTGTTGCATGAATCTTCCCTTTGTATGTAAAAGTTGATTCTGCATTCTAAAGAGAATTCCAAGTGTCTATTTCATTGCTTTGCTTGCTATCGCTTTAAGAACGTTTGTTATTCCTATCCTTTCTTTGTTAGCCATTACCCCCAAGCCCTGTTACAACCCTTGACTTCAATCTTGCGTGTTGTGTGTTTCAATTTGTGGAGTTCGAAATTGATATGAGCATATGGTGTCACTGGTTCTCGCATCTAAGTAGTAGCATACCATTCATGAGATCATATCTAAACATGCTTATTAACTCTAGAAATTGCTTTCTTTGTTATAACATATGTGAGTACCAGTCTTCCATGTTTACATCAATCTTCTCACATATAACTAGTGTAGGGTGTATAGTCAGAAAATGTGTGTGAAAATAGAGAGTATCTAGTAAGGAATTGAGGGAATTCTCTAAGGCATGTTACTACATTCAAAATGTTGTTTTAATTGATTAAATATGAGCTAGTGAATGGTGACTATGATTAAGTATGCTCGAGGGTAAGGATTGCTTAAATCTATGTAAGTGGTGATCTTTGACATGTCATGTTTCATTGAAAATCCCTGAGGCAAATGTTGGAAGGTCTAGGTTATGTTTTGTTTGTTTCATTTTGTTTCTTTTGTTTTGCTCGAGGACTAGCAAAAACTAAGTGTGGAGGAATTTGATAGGAGCATATTTATGCAACTTAGTGAGCTTGTTTCTTGGCATTTACTTAGTTTAATTCTAGTTATTTTAGTACTTTAAGCTATTTTCGTGTGTTTGTAGGTTCAAATAACAAAGTTGGCAACAAAGTGCTATTTGGAGCACTTTGGAGCATTTTTGGGCCAAAATTGGATAGTGCAAGCATGGAGACATGAGGATGGACGTTTTTGAAGATTAGAAGGCTAGAAATCAGCATGTGTGTGTGCAAGTGTGTTGACCTACAACTACAAACACTCATCCACTACACCCATTACATCCACTCATTACCAAACATCCATCCACTACACCCATTACATCCACTCATTACCAAACACTCATCCACTACACACATTACATTCACTCATTACCAAACACTCACCCACTACACCCATTACATCCACTCATTACCAAACATCCATCCACCACACCCATTACATCCACTCATTACCAAACATCCATCCACTACACCCATTACATCCACTCATTACCAAACACTCATCCACTACACCCATTACATCCACTCATTACCAAACATTCATCCACCACACCCATTACATCCACTCATTACCAAACATCCATCCACCACACCCATTACATCCACTCATTACCACAACACTCATCACTACCACCTTAATTAGATGGTGGTCCTCTCCCTAGCCTATAAATACATCCACCCCTCCACCCTTCCCCATAACTCACCTATATCCATCCACCACCATAATTTACCACTCATCCATCAAACCACACCTTGTGCCGCAACAAAGAGAAGAATGAGGACCCTTGGACGTGCTTGCCATTCAAGTTGGATTGTTGGAGCGTTTTTAGGTGTTTTCTTTCTTTTGTTTTCAATGTCTAAATTTGTTTATCTTTGCTTTGTAAGTATGAGGAACTAAACCCCCCTTAGCTAGGGGGGAATTTGAAACCATGTTCATGCTTGCAATATGATTTGATTACCTTCAGTTATGATTTCATAAGTTGTGAATTCAATTTGTTTAACTGCTTGATTGATAACTTATTTGTGTATGTTTATTAAGAGTGCACACTTAGTTTGCATGCATGAATATGATACTAGAGTATAAGGGACTTTCACCTAATAGTTACAAACTTATATTCACAAGTAGTGGAGGTCGCTTATAAATGATCGCGTTAAATAAATTCTTGGCAGGAGTTTTATGCTCATCATAGTAACAAATGCTTCGTCAATACTTATAGCTTTCATAATGCTTAATGATCTTTGATTGTATCTTTATTGTGCTATTCACGTAAAGAACTTTTGAAGAATGCTTGAATTGTTGTATGCGTTTTCCCATCCAATTCAATAACTTAAGGAGAACTTGAAGGTTAATTTAAGCGGACTTAATTAACCTGGGGTGTTGAGTTTCATGATTGATCGAAAGAACAACTGAAAATTGGTTTATGTGCAAGTGTGTCATGTGTGGAGAAGAACCCTCTAGCTAGCCCATCATCCATAGTTTACCCAAATTCGTCCAATATCTGTTTAAGTTTACAATCTATTTGTTTTGTTTTCAAATTCGTCAAAATCAAATCCCCCTTTACTTTAAAGTGTTTTATTAGTCAAAATCTATTTTGATTTGTGTTTTTAAGTGTCTTAAGTCAAGTTAGAACCTAATTTCGTCCAAAACTATCCCTAGAGTTAGTTTAGAGTCTAATTCATTGTTTTAAGCTGTTTTGAATATTTTAAGCTAGTTTTGAGTCTTTTTAGTTTGTATTGCATCTTTTGAGTCTAGTTTGGTGTTTTAAACTTAATTTTACGTTTTTAAGTCAGTTTCAAGTGTTTGAGCAATCCCTCCTAATCCCTGGCCTAGAACGATCCCTACTTACATTCTTTATTACAATTGACAACAAGAGGGTTTAATTTGTGTGTTAAGTAAAATTCGCACCACACACTCACTCTTGTTTTACGCCCCTCCAAGTTTTAGTTGTTGATAGTTTGTATCGACGAGGATTCGTGGTGAATCTCAGTATAGGTGGCTACCTCTGAGGTTATGATCCTTACCCACACTACTGTACTCTAATTATGCTCTAACGTCGCGTGTGAAACGGGCTCATTCCCGCTCACAGTGCACTCTTGTGTTTAGGCACTTTTAGGTTTAAATTTATTCACATTTTCCGCATCATTATACTTTATGGCTTCGTCACCTTCTAGGTGTCAACTAGCACAGCTCGATTTGGAGTCCTAGTGGACATTCCGGGTCGGGGTGTGTCACATGCAGTGTGCCTTTGAGCGACGAAATATTTCGTCATGCAAAGTTTTTAGTTTTTTATTTTTTAATTAATTAAATTAATTTAATATTTTACTTTTTTATTTTTTAAATTAATTAAATTAATTAAATTAATTGTTTGCGAGACAAAATATTTTGTTGCACAGGGTATTTTATTTTTGTTTTATTATTTCTCTTATTTTAATTTAATTATAGTAATTGTTTGTGTGACGAAATATTTGGAAGCGCAAGATTTTTTGAATTTTTACTTTTTTAATTTAATGAATTGTATCTTTATTTTTTTTAATTACTTTAATTTAAATTGACATATTCAAAATAAAATTACATATGAAAAATAGTGATCAAATTATCCATAATATATATTATATTAAGAATGTACACATAAATTGACAAAGTACAATAATAAAATCCTAATACAAGTCTAATGTGGTGGTAGTGGTGGAGGATATTGTCCAATAGCGTCCTAATCCGCAATTTCCGTATTCAATGTGTAACATTCCCTACAAACAAAACAAACATGGTCAAATAACCAAAAAAATAACATAAAATAATATCAAAAAATCGACATAATCTCCCCTAAAATTGGCATACCCCAAACTCCACCCCACACCAAACCCAATTAATTAACTCCAAAAACACATATTAATGAAACAAAAAAATTAAATTTGGGGAGAAAATAAATTTGGGGAGAAAATACCTTTTGGTAAGATTGAGAGTGAGTGAGAATGAGAGAGGAGTGAGTGTGAGAGAGTTAGAGGAGATAATGAGAGAGAGACACGAGAGAGTAAATGAGAGTGGGAAATAGAGAAGAGAGAGTGAGTAAGAATGAGAGATACAGAAGAGAGATTAAGTGAGAGGAGTGAGTCGGATTTAGGGAGAGGGAAAGAGAGGAGAGGTAATAAATAGAGAAACACATTGAGAAAATTGTAAATGAGTTATTTTGGTTTTAAAAACTGTATCACTTTGCCGACAAAGGATACGAGTTTGCGCGAAGAAATATTGGTCACACAAAGTCTTAAAAAAAATTTAAAATAAATTTTCCCATGTCTCATTTTTGGCGCCCGCCCAAATGTTTAGGGTTTTGCACAACGAAGGATTTGTCGTGGCTTAAAAAAATAGAAAAAATATTCCTGCGTACCATTTTGCGCCCGCCCAAAATTAAAGATTTTGTGTGACGAAATAATAAAAAAGAAAATAATTCTATTTTACAATTTAAAATATAAATAAATGAAAACAAAAAGGGTTTAGGCAACCAAATGTTGATTCGTCACGCAAAGAAATTTTTTTAGTACAAAATTAAATAAAAAACAAGTAAATAGGATTTAGGCAAAGAAATATTGACATTCGTCCCGCAAAGTTTTTTAAAAATAATAAAAACATATGAAAACAACTATATTTTAAAATTTATAATATAAAATTAAATTAAAAAAAGAAAATAAATTGGTTTAGGCCTCGAAATATTTGGATTTGATCGCGCAAAAGTTTTTAAAAAATATTTTTTTTTATTTTTGAAAGACTTTGTGTGACGAAGTTTAAAATTTCGTCTTGCAAAGTAACTTTGAGCGATGATGTTTGTTTCATCGCACAAAAGTTCGTCGTGCATAGACACTTTGCGTGACGATGTGTGTTTCGTATTGCAAGGAGTTTTTTCTTACTAGTGTTAAAGAGAAGGATAAACCAACTAATATCGAACAAGAGCATATTGAATTCCAGGAGTCCACCTGTTCTGATACCATGTAAACTTATAAAATGATAAGAAATAATAAAAATTAATTAAAACTATGATTCTTTTCATAGACACAAAATAAAGAAGATTACAAATTGTAGACAACTTTAATCCAAAAGGTTACATCTTGCCAAAAATTTCGAAATTACAAAAAGTATATTATAAATTAGGGACACTTTGGATGCGGTTTCTAACTACTAATGTTCTTTGATTGAAACCTTGGTGGTTTTTAGTTTTTGGTCGAAGTCCCTGACATTAATGTAATAATGTATTTCTATGTAGGTTATTATATTTTTAAATTAAAAATGAAATTTGTAATTATTTATATTAATGTGATTTTAAATAAAACCCATATTTTATGGGATTAAAAATATTAAAGATGAATTATACTCTCCAATATATTATGTGTGTATATATATACACACACATGAGTACGTTCATCAAAACTAACCAAAAAATTATTGTACCAAAGCATGGGTGCATTTTCAAAAGCACAAAAAAAAAAAAAAATATTAGCCTTAATAACATTATTAAATTTCTTCTATTAAACTTGGCATGGATACATTCTTAAATCAACGAAGTAGAATGTACCCATATAAGTTTAAAAAATGGATTAGAGAAAAGATTGAATGAAATTTTATATAAAAATATGGGTACATTTTAAATTAAAAAAGGGTACATTTTTAACAAATTGGTACATTTAAGGATTGATACATATAAGATTAAAAAATTGATTTTTTTTTTATAAAAATTTAATGGGTACAAACTTATTCTAATTTTATTTTTTATTTGGGAAATGTTTGAATTGACAATTAATTAGTAGTTTAATAAGGGTGTGAGTATTAAAACTCTAAATCACTTACTAATATTTTTTTTTTAAAAATTATGTAACTTACATGTAATTCATTAATATATTAATGCTAGAGACTTTTGATCAAAATTTAAAAACTGATAAGGTCTTAGTCAATGAACATTAGAAAATAGGGACCAAAAACTAATTTTTCCTATAAATTATCCTGGGATAAAAATAAACCAAATTACTGCTTAGTTATGGGACGGGTGGGACGGGGATTTACCGCTTCCAGACAGCATAGTTCCTTTTGGTACAGCTACTTTCATTGTCGGAATAATCTCCATTAGCAGACGCGACCTACTGATCATCTTCTCTACATCATCTGCAATGACAAGTTCAGGAACTTCATCATTAGTAACCAAACATATATATGTTAAACAATGATTTAATGTATGCGTATGAGAGAGAGAGAGAGAGAGAGAGAGAGAGAGGAGAGATTTAATTTACGCATTAGTACCGAAAATACATACAGTGTTTTGGATTTTCAGAAAAATTGGCAAAGACTACTTTGGATGCGAACAATAGCAATATAATTATGGGAATCATGTAAACAACGCTAGCCTTGTGAACCATATTGCCGATCGATATACAAGTTTGGCTCCGTCGTTCCCATACAACTACTTATATACAAAGCGATGTCTAAGACGAGTCTTAGGTTTTTTATTTTGTACAAGTAGTTACTTGACTTACAACCGAGTATAGCATACTAAGTCAAGGGTTGCACATTAATTAATTATCATTTTATGATTCTTCCATTGTTCCATGCATGCGAAATATCTTATATCTGTGTTTGGAAATTTCTTATATGTGTGTGATCCTAGGTCATCTGAAGGATGGTGCGAAATTCCATCAGCCAACAATTGTTGAAAATATGCTGCCTACTTTCGTATTTCTTAGCTTTAGCACAAACTATACGCTTTCTTATATAAAAGCCTATTAGCTCACAAATATTATATAAAAAGCACCCAAGAAAACTGAAAATATGACTTTTAACCCCTCAAATTTAATTTTTTTCCATATAAAACCCGACATAATTTTTTTACTCAAAAAAAACCTAGTGACTAGGATCCACCTAGGTGAATTCATTAATTACATATTACTTTACACATTTTACATTTTTTAGATGCCTAAAATACCCCTATTGCATATTTGATATGCACAATTAATTCTATGCAGATTGTAAGGAGAGAGTTAATGATTTTGTAAAAAGAAAAATAAGACATTAATTTTAAAAATATCATTGCATATTAATATCAAATATGAGAATTGATTAGACCATATTAATTTACCTACCTACTATTTGAAATGTTCATTTCCAATTATGCAAAATATTGCATAAACTTAGGAATTGGATCATGCTTTTGATTTTATCTTTTACCTACAAACAATCATACACATATTACTTAAAACGCCCCTAATAGGCTAATATATGTAATAATACATGAAAAATAATTTACCTAGCATGTATACAAAAAATGTTATTTGATTCAAAATATATAATCTAGGTTTTCTTAATATATATATATATATATATATAATCTAGGTGTAGTATATGACACACCCCGACCCCAATTGAGGCATGCTAGCCGTCAAGTAAGGGTGGCGTAGTCATGTGCGTTGTACGGAAGTGAAAGTGATATAAAAATACGGATAAATAATAATAATAATAATAATAACGAACTAACTAATTTACACTAGACTAGCATATCAGTGCGAGTGGAAGTGTTTAGAGTGTAGGTACACATAATCAGAGCGTAGGTATCAGAATGCAGTCCAGAAGTCTACTTACTAATTATACAGATCATAAAAGAAACCCTACACCGATGGATGTCTGTCAGAACCGCTATGGAGTCCTCGTGAACCACCAGCAAGAACTTATAGCTAGAACCTGGAAGGGTGCAAAACAGAAAGTGTGAGTGGGCAAAAACAAAGCTTTTCAAAACAATTTATTTTTCCAAAAGTAATAACCCCTCACCGTAAAACCCGTATAATTTCCCAGAAAATAGCACTACGTACGTATATAAAACTCATGCTTGAGAGTAGCAAAACCCACATGTATGCCATGTCAATTATCTCCACAATGCATAAGTACGCCAGATGAAATGAATCAATAAAAAATGACTTATCAGCCGGAGTCACCTAACGTGACTTGTACGGCTGAGTCTAAAACTCATCAGCCAAGTCCTACACATGAGTCAGAACCACCTAATGTGGTCTGTACGACAGGCTAGGTGTAAATAAATACGCTCAAGTGCTACAATCACGTGAAGGCTGTGTGAAGTATTGCAAGTCACCTATGAGTCAGAACCACCTAATGTGGTCTGTACGACAAGCTGACACTTGCCTTGGATCCAACGTGAGCGTGTGGTGCAGGAGGTGAACGATCACGTGAAGGCTAGGCCCTGGCCTTGGGCGGAGCACTAACACCGGGGTGTAGGACAATGAATTTTATGCACACTATTTATCACTAACTACTATGCAATCTAACCAACAATGTGTACTCACCTGAACTTACCTTGACCTCCGCAATAACATGCAATATTATGCAAAGCTATCCTAAATCATATGCTAAAATATAAATCAAATATGACATGGAATTTTAAAAACGTAAATCCATTTAAAACCATTTATGGGAAAACATAAAGCATATATACGTATATACAAAAAATCAAAAGCCCATTCACTGGTATGTAGCCGGGTCATAACCCCCTAGTCTCACCTGGCTGCGCTCGTCCTCTAAAAATGTTTCACCTATATGTGAAACCACTACTTTAACGTCAATTTTAAGCACATAAGTAAAACTGTGTAATAACTTCTCATACGTTGTTCGATTTGGGTGTTTGAATATACCATCGTCGCCTACTCAACATCACGAGCATTCCCATATTTTTAGAAAAAATTTCCAACGTCCCACGCGCAGGCATGTGCCTAGCACACGGAAAGAATATTTAACGCCGTTAGAGAATATTCCACTAAATAATAGAATATTCCATCATATTTACCTGATGCTGTTAGCATATTCCATTAAAGTTGACAAAATATTATCCTTCCTTCTCCGATGGTTCGCCGGAATCTGACGCTGGCCATCACTGCGTCACCGAAAACTGGAAAATCATAAAACTTCAATATCTTCTTTGTTTTTCAACCAAATTCCATAAATTATATATGGATGTGAAGCTCTCAGAAAGGAGAAAAAATCGTTACCTATTTGAAGTCCTAAAATTGACAAAAATGGTGGGAAAATCTCTTGGAAAATTTCGGCTAAACTGGAACTTCCTAAACCCGTGTGTTCCGATGTCCAAACCACTCAAAACTTGTTCCCAGTTGCTAGGAAAGGTGGAAGAACATATTTTTAAGTCTCAAAACCAAGAGAATCCTTCGCGATAACGTCGGAGGAAACTGGATCACATGTCGGAGCTCGGGTTTCTCGAGTGCTACACGTCTTCCCTTCAACTAATGGTACGGCTAGGCTTGTGAAGTCGAGGAGAGTACGAAAATGTTGTCCTTAAGCTCGATCTGTGTATGTGTGGTAGTGTTTGAAAGTTAAACGGTTCGGTCGTATGGATGAAAAAAGGATCGAGAGAAAAGGGCGAGGGTGAAGGTACGTACGTGTGTGTGTGTGGGTCACTGTTAGGTCTAAAAAAAGGATCTTAAGGCCTAGTTGGGCCACAATGTTTAGGGCTCAAACAATTGGGTCCAACTAACCAGAAACCAACCCAAATTCACTTATTCATTTGTAACATTTTTGTTATGAACCCGATTCTACCCTAACTTGCGACAACACGCACGTGACAACGCGTACAATTTAATTAAGTCAGCTAGAAAAATAATTTGAAACTATATACATACATCCACGCCACAACGCTGACGAGGGTAAAATAGTCATTTCCACGTATTCGAGGATAAAATATATTTTAGTTTAGGCTGGGCTATCACAACCTACCCCGTTAGCAAAATTTCATCCCTGAAATTTCTGTACACCATTGTACAACATATCAATATCCATAGAACATACGTGAATATAAATCTCGCATATGATCTTCCGTCTCCCAAGTAGCCTCCTCCATTGAATGGTTCCTCTACAAAACTTTTACCATCCGAACAGTTTTGTTCCTCAGAACTTTATCCTTCCAATCCTAAATCGTCACTGGCTCCTCGTCATATGTTAAATCTGGATTACTTTCTAACGGCTGAGGAGGTAATACGTGTGATGGATCGGAGACATAATGGCGAAGCATAGAAACATGAAAGACATCATGCATTTTCGCCAGTTCTGGAGGTAACTTAAGTTTGTAAGTAACTTCACCGACTCGTTTGGTGATTTGGTAAGGTCCGATGTAGCGAGGACTTAGTTTACCCTTTCTACCAAGCCGTACTGTGCCTTTCCATGGAGATAACTTCAAAAATACCTAATTTCCCACATTATACACCTTATCAGTAGCATGCTTGTCAACTAGACTCTTATGTCAATCTTGGGCTGCTTTCATGTTAGATTTAATTACCTGAATATTCTGAGTAGTCTCATTTACAATTTATGGGCCTACTAATGCCCTTTCACCAACTTCTGACCAACAAAGAGGAGTATGACAAGATTTACCGTATAATGCCTCGAAATGTGACATCTCGATGCTAGAATGGTAGCTATTATTATAAGCAAACTCCATCAAATCCAAACACTTATGCCACGCGTCACCAAACTGTAGTACTGACAATCTCAGCATATCCTCTAATGTCTGGATAGTCCTCTCAGATTGTCCATTAGTATGGGGGTGATACGCCGTACTATAAAGCAAACTCGAACCAAATGCCTCCTGAAATGCCACCCAGAACTTAGAAGTGAACCTAGGATCCCGATCAGAAATAATTCTAATCAGAACCTTGTGGTATTTAACAATCCTCGAAATAAACAACTCAGCTAGTCGGCTTAAAGAATAGTTCTCCCGAACCAGTATGAAATGTGCTGACTTAATAAGCCGATCCACGATCACCCAAATGCCATCATAAGCATTTCGTATATGAGGAAGCTTGTACATGAAATCCATAGTAATATTTTCTCATTTCCATTGGGGAACAAGAAGTGGCTGCATCAATCTAAAAGGTTTATTCTTTTCAACTTTAACTTGCTGGCAAATTGCACACTTACTCATATATTTAGCAATCTCCATTTTCATAACTAGCCAATAGTAGAAAAGCCAATAATAGAAAGGTTTAATAGTGTGATACATCTTGGTACTCTCAGGATGCATCGTATAAGCCGATATGTGCACCTCATCAAGGATATCTTTCTTTAGTTCTGCAATATTTGGTACGTACATTCGGCTTCCTTGCATAAGCATGCCATCGGATTCCTGAATTCTGAGACCTTTCTTCTTCCCTTGTGACACTGCCTCTATTAACTCCTGAGACTCTTCATCCTCTGGTTGAGCTTCTAACACACGATCTATCAAAATTGGCCTGACCTGGAAACTAGCAAGTAAAGCTTCCTCTCTATCCATCACTCTTAAATCAAATCCTGTTGATCTCAACTTTCTGAGAAGAGGGACACAGCAAGCATATAAGGCATTAAGTCGGCCTTGAGATTTCCTACTAAGCGCGTCTG